TTGGCTAGGAAGAATTAATATTGTCAAAACGGCCATCCTGCCTAAAGCAATCTACAGATTCAATGCAATCCCTATCAAAATACCAACAGCATTCTTCAACGAACTGGAACAAATAGTTTCAAAATTCATAAGGAACCACAAAGACCTCGAATAGCCAAAGCAATCCTGAGAAGGAAGAATAAAGCAGGGGGGATCTTGCTTCCCAACTTCAAGTTCTACTACAAAGTCACAGTAATCAAGACAATTTGGTACTGGCACAAGAACAGACTCACAGACCAGTGGAACAGGATAGAGAGTCCAGATATGAACCCAAGCATATATGGTCAATTAATATATGATAAAGGAGCCATGGATATACAAAGGGGAAATGACAGCCTCTTCAACAACTGGTGTTGGCAAAACTGCACAGCTATATGTAAGAGAATGAAACTGGATCATTGTCTTACTCCATACACAAAAGTAAATTCAAAATGGATCAAAGACCTGAATGTAAGTCATGAAAGCATAAAACTCTTAGAAAAAAACATAGGCAAAAATCTCTTAGACATAAACATGAGCAACCTCTTCATGAACATATCTCCCTGGGCAAGGGAAACAAAAACAAAAATGAACAAGTAGGACTATATCAAGCTGAAAAGCTTCTGTACAGCAAAGGACACCATCAATAGAACAAAAAGGCATCCTACAGTATGGGAGAATATATTCATAAATGACAGATCCGATAAGGGGCTGACATCCAAAATATATAAAGAGCTCACACACCTCAACAAACAAAAAGCAAATAATCCAATTAAAAAATGGTCAGAGGAGCTGAACAGACACTTCTCCAAAGAAGAAATTCAGATGGCCAACAGACATATGAAAAGATGCTCCACATCACTAATCATCAGAGAAATGCACATTAAAACCACAATGAGACATCACCTCACCCCAGTAAGGATCGCCACCATCCAAAAGACAAAGAACAACAAATGTTGGTGAGGTTGTGGAGAAAGGGGAACCCTCCTACACTGCTGGTGGGTATGTAAACTAGTTCAACCATTGTGGAAAGCAGTATGGAAATTCCTCAAAATGCTCAAAATAGAAATACCATTTTACCCAGGAATTCCACTTCTAGGAATTTACCCTAAGATTGCAGCAGCCCAGTTTGAAAAAGACAGATGCACCCCTATGTTTATTGCAGCACTATTTACAGTAGCGAAGAAATGGAAGCAACCTAAGTGTCCATCAGTAGATGAATGGATAAAGAAGATGTGGTACATATACACAATGGAATATTATTCAGCCATAAGAAGAAAACAAATCATACCATTTGCAACAACATGACTGGAACTAGAGCATATTATGCTCGGTGAAATAAGCCAGACAGAGAAAGACAAGTACCAAATGATTTCACTTATCTGTAGAGTATAAGAACAAAGCAAAAACTGAAGGAACAAAACAGCAACAGACTCAAAGAACCCAAGAGTGGACTAACAGTTACAAAAGGGAAAGGGACTGGGGAGGATGGGTGGGAAGGGAGGGATAAGGGGGGGGCAAAAACAGGGGGGCATTATTATTAGCTGACATAATGTTGGGTGGTGGGCACGGGGAGGGCTGTGCAACAGAGAAGACAAGTAGTGATTCTACAGCAACTTACTACACTGATGGACAGTGACTGTAATAGGGTTTGTGTGGGGGACTTGGTGATGGGGGGAGTCTAGTAAACATAATGTTCCTCATGTAATTGTAGATTAATGATACCAAAATAAATATAAATAAATAAATAATATAAATTTAAATTTTAAAAAAGGGGGATTATGCCATCTAATGCCTAAAGTATAGAGGTGGAAGAAGAATAAAAAGAAGTATTTTTAGAGTCTGTTGAAATAGAGTGACCATCAACTTAATATGGACTGTTATATGTTTAGGAACCTATCTATGAACCCCGGAGAATACATTCATAAACGAAGACATACAATAATTTAATAACAGAGATTAAGGATAGGGAGAGGGTACAAAATCCAAAATAGATAAAGAACTCAAACACCACAACACCAAAAAATCCAAATAATCCTATTAAAGAATTGGTAGAAGAACTGAACAGACATTTTTCCAAAGAAGAAATACAGATGGCCAAGATACATTTGAAATGATGCTCCTCATCACTAATCATCAGAGAAATTCAAATCAGAACCACAGTGCTGTATCACCTCACACCAGTCAGAATGCCCACTATCAAAAAGACAATAACAAGTGTTGGCAAGGATGTGGAGAAAAGGGAGCCCTCTTATACTGTTGGTGAGAACGCCACTGTGGGAAGCAATATGGCGTTCCTCAAAAAGCTAACTAGAAATACCATACAACCCAGTAAATTCCACTTACAGGAATTTATCCAAAGAAAACAAAATCCCTGATTCAAAAAGGTGTATGCGTCCCATGTTTATCACCACATTATTTACCACAGTCAAGTTATGGAAGCAACCTAAGTGTCCATCAATAGATGAATGCATAAAGAAAATATAGTACATATACACAATGGAATATTATTCATCCATAAGAAAAATCCTGCCATTTGCAACAACATGGATGAACTGGACTGTATTATGCTAACTTAAATAAGCCTGGTGGAGAAAGGGAAATACCATATGATTTCACTTATTTATGGAATCTAAAAACAAAACACAACAAAATGAACAAAATAGCAGTGGACTGATAGACATTGAGAAGTGCCTGGTGGTTATCATGGGGGAGTGTTTGGGTAGGTGGGTGGAAAGGGTGTGGGGGATAAAGGTGCACAAAAATTCTCAGTCATAATATAAATTGGTCATGAATGGTAGAATAGCATGGAGAATATAACCAATATTCTGTAACATCTTCCTGTGTTGACAGATATTAGTGAAACTAGTTGGGGTGCAGATTTTATAATATGGGTAGCTGTTGAACTACTGTGTTGTATACCTGAAACCAATATAAAATTGTATATCGGTGCTACTTAATTTAAAAAAAGAAAAAAAACTAAAGCAAGGTCTATTAAATTTGTCTTTTGGGCATCATTATTAGCCTTTGAGAATTCTGTAACTGTAGGTTGGTGGAGGCATAAAGTCTAATTCCTAAGGACTAGTCCAGGAGTAAGTAGAAAGTAGAGGTAGCAGGTATGAAGCCTGTGGTTAAGAAGTTCATCATTGAAAAAAATGCTAGAAATATAACTGTTGGTAGAGAAGAGGCAGTTTATCAAGCAAAATCCATATACAGGAAGAGAGGTAGAGCTAATGGAGAACAGACGTTTTAAAGGCACCATAGAAGGAAGGGATGTTTATTATAACAAGACCCCATGTGATATAATAAGAAGTTATACCTAGGGCTTAAATGAGAAGATTAATCTGAGAAAGGAGGACAACTTTTCTTTCAAAAAGTAAAGGAAGAAATGGGAGAATGAAATTAGGACTAGATGTATAGAACGGAAAAGGATAATTAAGAAAGCCTAGTTATGATGTTGAAACTTGTTATCAGGTTAATCATTCTTTTATCTGTTCACATTAGGAAATGTCTAAATATAAGAAATAAAATAAAAAGTTACCTCAACGTCTAAAAATAGTTATCTCTAATTGTTAAAGAAATATTGGTTAATAATGATTAAGCATAATGAATAGAAGTGAATGAAAATTTGTATTAAACTTCAGTTTCTATCAAATTGTCTCACCAATAATAATAATAGTAATAATAGTGGTAATGGTATGTTTCCTTTTAAAACTAGCAGTTTTACTTAAATTATTATTTCATACAGAATATACATTTTATAGTTCAGAAAAGCTTTTGTGTATTTTATTTTATCCTCAATAAACACTGTGAGATAGATGTTATAACTCCTCATAAAAGAAAACTGCAAATCAGTGGGATTAAATCATTTGCCTGAGATTATATACTTCAAAAGACGTACAATCCAAATTTAGACCCATGAGTCCTAACTTTAAGTGTAGTGTTCTTATTTCATTATACCAACCACAAACTGAAATGAAATGCAATTTCTTAGATTCTGTTTTACACTGTCTGATTATCTGATATAAACAATGAATAGTAGCCCTTTTATAGACATCTCTGCTATTCTTTTCACTTTTCTCAATTCCCATGAGAAAAATAAACAAGATAATCAGGAGAATAACAGAATCATAGAATTTTACAACGAGATGGAATTTTGTAAAGCAACTAATCCAACTCTAATATTGCAAATTAAAAGACCTAAATGGAGATTGGAAAAGGGACATTCGTGCAGCTAGTTAGCATAGAACTAAGAACCTCATTTTCTTGTTGAACATTATTTCTAATGTGAGTTGTTATGCACAGTAATATTCACATTATAAGTTAGTACTGTTCTGTTTCATTTTACTGAGACCTGTTTTCTTTCCAAGTAATTTCATTCAGGATTAAAATCAGTGGCCCATCCTTTACTAATAACTGTCGGTGCTGTCGAGAAAATGAGAAGGAAGCAAGCTTCCTATTGTCTTAATGTTTATACTGTAGAAAAGTACTTTAAATTGGTCATAGTGCCTCTATAATGAGACATTGGCGGGGGGTGGTGGTGAAGTAAACTTGGTAAACTTTCACAGATTCATACTTAAAGGGTAAAAAGAAAGCAGATGGGTAAAAGCAACTGAAAAATACTTATTTTTAAAAAAGGAAAGGAAAAAATCAAAACTAAAAGAACAGAAATCCCAGAAAATGTATTAGAAAGTAAAAGAGGAGTTAGCAATAAAGATACAACTTAGAGAAGAGAAATTAAGAGACCTAACTGAATTTAAGTGGATGGAATAATTAACTTGGAGTGAAGTTGAGAAGAGCAGTTATAATAGGGAATAATTGGCTTCAGTGAGCAAATTATGTTTTATATGTGTTTTAATATTAAGGTGGGGTTTTACAGATTTTAAATACACAGCAAAAAACACAAGCCAGTTTTTACTTATTTTTTCCTTTGTAAAGTTCTCTTGAACCTGAAACATGAACTTTTCTACTTTTATTTTAAGAGTATAGAAAATGTAGCTTCATCAGTGCTTGGAAAATCTGTTTTTGTTAATTGGCCTCATCTTGAAGAAGCTAGAGTTGTTGGTATATCAGACGGAGAAACTAAGTAAGTAAAATTTTATTGATAATTTTTAAAATTTCTTTTTGCCTTGCTACTTGATAGCCTTTACTGATACATTTTGACTGATATAATTATTGTAGAAAAATTTATACTCTGTAGTGAGAATGAAAGTCCTTTAATCATGCCACTCAAAGTTCAACCACTATTGACAGTTTATTGTACATTCCTTGAGATATTTTAGATGCATGTATTATTTTTTTCCCTTTTGCCTTCTTTTCCTTTTAATAGCCTGGAAGTTCTATATCCTAAGTCTTTTATACCAGTTATCATTATATTATTTAGCAAATATATTTCTCTTTCTGATAAGGATGAATAACGTACATAACTGCCCCTCCCAGGTTTCATTTAAATAATTAATTTTTAAAAAAACCTATCTTCCATAATAATTTCTTAACATTTTATTCAAGTTCACAACAACTTCATCATTGCCTCTTAGACAGGTTATTCTTTGTCGTCATCTTTTTTTTTCTCCCAGAGAAAATGAGGGAATGTTGTTTTCTGAGTTGTTACATGTCCAAAAGATCTTTTCTGTTTTCCTCACACATAGGTTTGGTATTTTAAAGCCCCAATTCCTTTTCCACAGCTCTCTGCACACATAGCTCTTTTGTTTTCTGTCACATAATTTTGTCAATGAGAAGTCAATGCCAGTATCAGTTTTTTTCCTTTGTGGTATCAGCTTTTCTGTATGAAATCTTGAGGATTCTTTTTAAATCATCAGAATTCAGTTCCTCTGTCTTTTGATGAAGTCCAATTTATTAGTTTTTTATTTTATGGATCATGCTTTTGGTCTCAGAACTCTTCACCTAGCCCTTGGTCCTGAACATTTTCTTCTATATCTTCTTCACAAAGTTTTAGTTTTACCTCCTCCATTTACATTTAAATCTATGATTCCTTATGAATTAATTCTTGTATAAGGTATGATGTTCAGGTCAAGGTTCATATGTTTGCCTGTGAATGTTCAATTGCTCCAGCACTGTTTGTTGAAAACACTACGCCTTCTCTGTTAGGTTGCTTTTATACCTTTGTCAGCAGTGAGTTGAACAAATTTGTGGGGGTCTAATTCTAGGTTTCCATTCTGTTCCATTTATCTATATGTCTGTTTTTACACCAATGCCACACTACACCTTGTTACTGTAACTATCTAATAAGTCTTAACCTTAGGTAGAGTGATTCCTTATACTTTTTCTTTTTCAAAAATTTTTTATCTATTTTTGGTCCTTTGCCTTTCCATATAAATTGTAGAATAAATCGTTCTATATCTACAAAATCTTGGAGATATTTTGAAAAGAATTTTATTAAACTTATAAATTAATTTGAAGACATTTAAGAGATGACATCTTTACTATATTGATCCAAATGGATCCAAATGGGTCTTCATTTATCTTTCCATATCACACAGTCTTTTATTTCTTTCATCAATGTTTTGCTTTTTCAGCATGTAGACCCTGTACATGTTTTTTTAGATTTATACCTCAGTATTTATTTTGGAGCAACTATAGATGATACGTTTTAAATTTCATATACTTCCTCAGTAAGTACATAGAAATACTATTAATTTCTTTGTGTTAATTTCTTTTTTAATTTTGGTATCATTAATCAACAATTACATGAAGAACATTATGTTTACTAGGCTTTCCCTTCACCAGGTCCCCCCACAAACCCAATTACAGTCATTCTCCATCAGCATAGTAAGATGCTGCAGAATCCCTACTCATCTTCTCTGTGTTGTACAGCCCTCCCCGTGCCCCCCTATTACACATGCTAATCGTAATGCCCTCTTTCTTTTTCCCTGCCCTTATCTCTCCCTTTCCACCCATCCTGTGATTGTGCTGCTGTTTTGTTTCTTCAGTTTTTGCTTTGTTCTTATACTCCACATATGAGTGAAATCATTTGATACTTGTCTCTCTCTGCCTGGTTTATTTCACTGAGCATAATACCCTCTAGCTCCATCCATGTTGTTGCAAATGGTAGGATTTGTCTTCTTCTTATGGCTGAATAATATTCCATTGTGTATATGTACCACATCTTCTTTATCCATTCATCTACTGATGGACACTTAAGTTGCTTCCATTTCTTCGCTACTGTAAATAGTGCTGCAATAAACATAGGGGTGTATCTGTCTTTTTCAAATTGGGCTGCTGCAATCTTAGGGTAAATTCCTAAAAGTGGAATTTCTGGGTAAAATGGTATTTCTATTTTGAGCATTTTGAGGAATTTCCATACTGCTTTCCACAATGGTTGAACTAGTTTACATACCCACCAGCAGTGTAGGAGGGTTCCCCTTTCTCCACAACCTCACCAACATTTGTTGTTCTTTGTCTTTTGGATGGTGGCGATCCTTACTGGGGTGAGGTGATATCTCATTGTGGTTTTAATTTGCATTTCTCTGATGATTAGCGATGTGGAGCATCTTTTCATGTGTCTGTTGGCCATCTGAATTTCTTCTTTGGAGAAGTGTCTGTTCAGCTCCTCTGACCATTTTTTAATTGTATTATTTGCTTTTTGTTTGTTGAGGTGTGTGAGCTCTTTATATATTTTGGATGTCAGCCCTTTATCGGATCTGTCATTTATGAATATATTCTCCCATACTGTAGGATGCCTTTTTGTTCTATGAATGGTGTCCTTTGCTGTACAGAAGCTTTTCAGCTTGATATAGTCCCACTTGTTCATTATGCTTTTGTTTCCCTTGCCTGATGAGATACGTTCATGAAGAAGTCACTCATGTTTATGTCCAAGCGATTTTTGCCTATGTTTTTTTCTAAGAGTTTTATGGTTTCATGACTTTCTTTGTATTAATTTTTATGTCCTAGGACCTGGCTCAACTGGACTTGAAGAGTCCAGGCCAGTTATTTTATAGAAGTCTGGTTTTATCTGGCTCTTTCCTCTTAGTGTCTAAGTTGGTCCTCCATCCCACATATTTTCTATAAGCAAGAAGTTAGGTATAGTGGCTTAATTGAAATTAAACTTTTTTAGCAAAAACACTTTATTGAATTTGAGAGTATTTAAAAATTTTTATATTTAAAATTTTATATTTTATCTTTAAAAATTTTAATTTTTATGTATTTAATTTTGATCCTTAAAAGAGAAAGAATAGTAATTAGTTTCTGAATTTTTTTGAAACTTTTCGCAAGTTCTTGTTCTGAACGTATATTACAGCTTTTTAAAAGGAAGCTTTCTTTTTTCTTTTCTTTTCTATTTTTGTTATTACACCATTTAGAAACCTTTTCACTTTTAAGAATCATACTGTTAGAATTCTATATTAAACCACAATATTTGGGGTGATATGATTTATTTTATTTTATTTTAATTTTTAAGGTTTTACCTGGAAGAACCTCCAGGAACACAGAAACTTTATTTGGGAAGAACTGCCCCACCATGTAAAGTGGTCTGTCTTGGAGACAAAGAACAATCTAACTGGACAAAAGAAGTACAAGGAATTTCAGAATAGTGAGTGTCATAAAAAATATTTAATATCAAACTAACTTGTAATCTAATGTACTTGTCCTCTTACTTTCTCCTTAACATAGTAGTCAGTCTGAATGCTGACTACATCTCATTTTATGTTCTAAATAAAGTAATGAGTTCTAGTTTAAAATAATATCTCATTAGCAGTAGTTATGGCCTTGCCCAGTTTGTCACTAAAATGCTTCATGTACAAAAAAAGAAAAAGAAAAGACATGATCACTTAATACTAGGAATAACAGTTAATAGTTTCCTTAATTGGAAGTTTATTTTTACTAACCATAAGGCCATCGACTTTCTTGGCCACATGTATGTAATGAAAAAAGGAAGGCAGACTCTCCTTTGTTCCTTACCCTCTCCCCATGTCCACTTCCCCACTGCCCCCTACATACCCAATATGCCCCCAAATTCAGAAGTGCAAGTTCTGTACCAACCAAATAACTAAGAAGCAGGCCCTCTTTGGAATGCTGATTTTCAGGGTCACCAAAGTGACCCATTTTGGGGTCCCATGATCCCACCCTAACAGTACCTATGTTTCTTCACCTAAACACTAGAATTTCCTAAACTAAAACAGAGTAATAGTGACTGTCAGTGGCAAATGAAACGGTGTTATAAATAGATGTCTGTCAGTCTTCCTATTTAAACTGTAATAGCATCCATTGATAAATGGGAAATTTAAGGAGCTGCCTTTCTACAATTTTGGAGCTAATACTAGGCTATAATATCCTTATTCAAAGATGAGCAAACAGGGAAAATGTAAAAAGAAACCATAAAAAGCCATCTAGCATAAAAGGAGATAAGCATAGCCCTCAGGTGGTAGAGGTAGAGCACATTTTTGCCTCTCAATGGTGTAAGTTAAGATACCCTTGTCATAGTTCATATCATTCTGAATTTTATTTTATAGCACATGAGTAAAATCATAGTAAATTTATTTGTATGATTATTTTAATGACTCTTTCCTTAGACAGTATGCCTTGTAAGGGTAGGGAATACACCTGTTTTTCTTACCACTCTATTCTCATTCCTTTGGGTGCCTAGGAACTCAGTAAATACTTGTTTGTTTGAATAAACAGAGATCATTTTGGTTAAGACTCTTTTGATTTAAAAAAACTTGTTCAGAATACAACAGTTTAGTCATTTGTTCATTTCTCAACAACTATTTATTGATGCCTGCTAGATACAGTAGTTGGCACTTGTAGATACCATAGTGAATAAAAACATAGTCCCTACACTCATGAAACTTAGGCTGGTGTATGGGAAATAGACATTAATGTCTTGTGTGATTTTTTTATCAAACTGCAACTCTGATAATAGCTCTGAAGGAGTAGTGCTCTGAGACCATATAGTAAAGGGGTTTGACCTACTTAGGGAGGAATTTGCCTTAATCAGAGAAAACTTTCATGAGAAAATGTTGATTAAGCAGGTATCTTAATGTAGAGTAGGAGTTAGGCAGAGTGAAAAGGAAGCATGTTTCAGAATAAGGAAGAATTACATGCAAAGTCCCTGCATCAGGAGGAAAAGCAGCATGTTTGATGCTAATGATAATGGCTGATGTGGCTGCAGTGCTGGAATCAAGAAGAAACTATATTGAGGAGGATGAGACAAAGGAAAAGGAAAGAAGCAACCTCAGAGTTAGGAATTAAGTCAGGAGAGTAAAATATATTATGTAAATCAAAGAAAAAGAAGGTTTTAAGAATAAAGGAATGAGTCATGTGAATAAAAATAAGGGAATAAGTTGTAAAGAGATTAAGCAAGAGCTATTTTCATTGAGCAGTGGGACTGAAAGCAAGACCCGTGAGTGAAGGAATGAGAGTAATAGAAATGGAGACAAAATAGGAATAAACAACTTCTTCAAAAAGTTTAGCTGAAAAGGAGACTAAAAGCTCTTACCCCTTTATTCTAGTTACTCCTTCCCGTCTGGATGGGCTTGATTGTCTATGATGGCAGCAAAGAGCAGAGAGAACAATCTGATAGCAGATAGCAGTGTATACTGGTTCACATAAGAGCATGATTTCTAGAGTCTGCCAGTTCAGGATATCTTGTTTAATCTCATTAACCAAGTAGGTAGACAAGTCTGTGTAGATTCATTAGCACTTACGTTTATTTATTTTGGTCACCATTCTTTTAGACGGCTTTTCTTTTACCACCATATTCATTCTTCATATCATCTCACATTTTGTCCCCTCCTCCACACACCTCCCAAGCTCTTCCATAATCTGTCTTCCAGGGTGAAATTCACAATGTCACTGTTGTTCTGCCCCTGAGGGTTTACTTTATTATTTGTGGTTTTGCATATTATGTTAGTAACATAAGGTGAGAATCCCATGGCACTAAAGAGTAGGAGTTAATGCTTGTGAAAGCCATTTTTAGCTCTATAAGACTTCTAGAGCAGAATGTAGAACCTATCTGTTATATTTCTGTGTATCTTACTAGCCAAGACATGTTCTCCTACATTCAGTACATCTTTTTTTCTGTGAATATAACACATGAAATATTTCCGTGAGTACCAAATCATGTGATTTTATTTTTAGAAACCCTCTTAAGCACATGTGATAATGCCTAATAAATTTTTATATTCCTATGTAACAAGTATCCTTTCTGATGAAAGCTACCACTAAGAGACAGCTGAAAAAGGATATAGAATTGAGTGGCATTGATTTTTGGTTTATTCAGAGAGATTTGATCATGTGTAAAAATAAATGAGAAGAGAGTTGCAATAGAAGACAAAAAACAATACATTTGAAGATGGAACAAAATGGATTCTTAAAGAGGATGGAGGATGGCTCCTCTGTTTTAACAGGATGGGATGCAAATATAGGTTGGTTTATGTGTTTGGCATGGGGAAGATGAAGAACACTCATCTGAAGCTGTTTTATTTGCAAAGTAGGTACTGATTAGCTGTTGAGGATGGTGGAGAGAAAAGGGAGGTTGGTCTTAAGTTTGAATAGAGAGGAGGAGGTTTGAAAATAGATCTTGAGGAAAGTAGAAGAGTAGAAAAACATGGTAGAATAAGAGGAAATATTGAGGGTCCTTTTTGAAGTAAAATTCATGAATTTATGTTGTAACAATCTGCCCTTTCAGTGGTGGAAGTCAGCCAGTCAGTCACAGGCCTTGGAAAAACAGATAGATTTAACCAGCACTGGGTTTTGCCAAATGGGTGCAATGAAAAGACAAAAAGGCAAGGAAGTTTGGGATACTGTCAGGAGTGTTGCTGAGATAGTGAACAATGGAATCTAAAAAGAAGTAGAGAAAGTAGAGGGTTAACCATTTGGGAGAAGGATCAATGGACGGGAGATCCCCAATTAAACTGAGTAAGGGTCATAAAGTGGTTGAACAAACAAGTTGTATGGAGAGGAAGTTTTTAGATAATAAGATGTTTGAATTAGTGATTTTGGAGGTGAAACCATTGTGGGTGATGTCATGATCCAAGTCATAACCATGGGAATAGGTAGTGGAATTAGAATGGAACTTATTGGGGATAAGATTGTGAGCCTGAATGACTGTGTTCTTAAGTAAACCATATATGTAAACTTTGTAGTCACTCTGGATGATGGTAGATATAAGAGTGGAATGGAAAAGAGTAAGGTAATTTACTACTAGGGATTTAGATGTCACAGTGGGTTGTAAGGAAATACCAATACTCTCTTTTTGCCTTAAAGTACACAATATGAAACAAATAGCTACCACTAGAGAGGGCTACACAGGGAACTGATGGTACTTGCAGTTAAGGCGGTAGATATTAAGTAAATAATGAAATGAAAAGGTTTAGAAGAAACTGGAATAAGGGAGCAAGGAAATGCTTTATGGGATGTTGTGGAAGACATGATGCATTTAGATATAATTTGGATGAGAGCTTCAAACCCCTCAAACAAGCAAGAAATGGACCAACATAAATACGCTTACCAAAGGATTGATGATGATCACTGAAAGTATTAAAATGCAGAATTGATTTTTAAGTACCAGCTCTCATTTGACATAACAGAAAGTTTACAGGTAATTTTTTTATAATTTAGAAAATTAGAGAAGCATGAAATATTTTTCAAAATTTCATTCAAAAGTAACCATTAATAGAAACTAAGCAGCAAGATTTCTAACTTTCAAATAACTGGCAAGAAAAAAAATCAAATGAAAGACAGAACCTAGGAGATGGAAAAGCAAAATAAAACAGTTTAGGAAGCTAAAAAGAATTAAATTGAGATGATGGAAACAGCCAAACTAAGAATTATGTCACTAAATCTAAGTGGCTTCACCTCTGTAACTAAAATACAGCAGCACTTAGACTACAGCGGCGGCAGCCAGCGTAAACCAGCTCAAGGAAGTACACCTGTAGCCCAAGCTGCTGGGGCCTGAAGTACCATAATCCCTCACCATCTAAAGGCTACAGAATGCACAGGTCTACATTTATATTCCAAGGAAGCCCAGGCTGCTGGGGCCTAAAGCACAGTAACCCTTCATCATCTAAAGTCTAAAGAAAGCATAGATCTGTATTTATATTCCAGCCATTTAAAAATACATACTTGGCTCTATTCAGTCTCCTTAAAGAAAACATTATGAAGTATATTTGGGAAATGCAGATAGAAGGAAAGTAGGGATTGCAATGTTAAAGATCAGACAAATTGAAGATCAAGAGAGTAAATAAAAAGGGGAAAAGGTAACTCTTTATAAAAAATTCATTTCACAATATAGGTGGAACAAACATAAACTTTATGCACTGAATAACGTAGTTCATGTGTACCTCCATTTGGTGGATTCTGAAATACATTTTTTCACTTTTTGTTATCTCTGAATTTTAAGTGTGTTCTGCAATGTCATGGTTAATTGGTGAACTCCTTTCCTTGTTCAATGGCACATAAAATAATTATATATTTTACAATCTGTGGTGACTAACAAACTGCAGGAAGAACTGAAGCAAATTGGGAACCCCATAATTTTGGGAGACAAATCTTTCTGTCCCTGACAGATCTAGTAATCAAAAAGCAAATATG